TAGATCTCTGTCAATGAGGCCAGCCTGGTCTACAAAGTGAGTTCTAGGTCAGTCAGCACCCAGGGTTACATAGTGAGATCTTTTCTCAAAACAAAGGGGGGGAAGGGGCCTGGAAAACTGGCTTAGCAGTTAAGAGCACTGGCTGTTCTTGTAGAGGCCCATAGTTCAGCTCTCAGCACCCACATGGTGGCAAACAACCACCTGTTAACTCCAGTTCCAGGGGATCCAATGCCCTCTTCTGTCCTCTGCAGGCAATACACACGTGGTGCACTTACACTCCAACATAAAAATAATTTTTAAAAAAAAGTTAAGCATTAGACTTGGTGTATAGCTCAGTAGCAGAGCACTTGCCTAGTAAGGTCCTGGTTCAATTGCTGTAATTGCAATAAAAGAAAGCATAAAACTCCATTAAAGCATGTCTAGCTGGTTTATAGATCTAGGGGGCATCTTGCTACATAGCCCAGACTAGCCTCAGACTTATGATATTCCTGTCTCAGGTTCCTGAGAGCTAGGATTACAGATATGTGCCATAAAACCCTGATCAGATTGAGACTGATAGTGGGACAAGTTATGCTTCAGGGGACTGGAGAGATGACTCAGCAGTTATACTTTCTGCTCTTACAGAGTACCCAGGTTTGTTCAGTTCCTAGCACTCACATCAGGCTGCTTACAATTGCCTGTAATTCCAGTTCCAAGGGATTGGATGCTCTCTTCTGGTCTCTATAGGCTCTTATACCAATGTGGTGCACATATAGACAAGCAATCATACAAATATACACATAAAATAAAAAAATAAAACTTGCTTTAAGGTTATGCTTCATGCCAGGTGCAGTGGCACATACCTTTAATCCCAGCACCTGGAAGGAAGAGGCAGGTGGATCTCTGTGAAAACAAGGCCAGACTGGTCTACACAGTGAGTTCCAGCCAGCTGTGGCTACAGGGAGACTGTCTCTTAAAACACAAAACAAAAAAACTAAGCTTCATATATGTGAGATATATCTACACAGAGCCAGAGGTGGTGGTACATGCCTGTAATCCCAATATTTGGGAACTGAAGGCAGGAGGATCAGGAGTTCAACACTATCCTCAGCTACAGAGCCAGTATGCAGCCAACCTGGACTATAGAAGACCCTGTGTCAATAAAAAAAAAATAAATAAATAAATAAATAAATAAATAAATAAATAAAAAACTATACAGATGCCTGGTTTTCTTATTAGAATACTAAGGATAGAAAAAAGAAAAAATATACAAAGAACAAAAAGCCAGAATCCCCTAATCTTATCTCAAACTTACTGCAGAAAAGAGGCATCAGTACTTATGAAAAAACAGACAAGAAAAAACTGCTCTTCTCTACACAGACAGTGTAACTGAAGATATATTGTCAATGAAGCCACAGAAAAACCTGCATTAAAGCTAGACATGGGGGCTGGAGAGATGGCTCAGCAGTTAAGAACACTGCTCTTGCAGAAGACCTGGGTTCGAATCCAAACACCCACATGGCAGCTAACAACTGTCTGTAACTCCAGTTTCAGGGGATCTGACAGCCTCTTCTGTCCTCTGCGGGCACTGACATGGGTGCACTTACCTACATGCAGGCATAACACTCATACACATAAAAATAATAAATAAAATATTTTGGGGCTGGAGAGATGGCTAAGCGGTTAAGAACACTGTTCTTGCAGAAGACCTAGGTTCAAATCCTAGCACCCACATGGCAGCTAACAACTGTCTGTAAGTTCCAAGGGATCTGACAGTCTCTTCTGTTCTATGGGGGCATTGCATGACATGGGTGCACTTACCTACATGCAGGCAATACACGCATACACATAAAAATAAATAAAATATTAAAAAAAAAAAGCTGGACAAGGATTATGCCTTTGATCCTAGCACTTAGAGGCAGAAGGATCAAGAGTTCAAAGCCAGCCTGGGATGCAAATTAAGACCTTATCTTTGGCAGGCACTTTTGAGGCAGAGGCAGGTGGATCACTGTGAGTTTTGAGGCCAGACTACTCTACCTACTAAGATCCTCTCTCAAAAAAGAAAAGACAGGGCTGGAGAGTACTCTCAGTGGTTAAGAACACTGACTGTTCCTGCGGAAGACCCAGGTTCAATACCCAGCACCACATAGCAGCTAACAACTGTCTGTAACTCCAGTTCCAGGGGATCCAACAGCCTCTTCTGTCCTCTGCAGGCATTGAACAGACATCGGTTCACTTACCTACATGCAGGCATAACACTCATACACATAAAATAAAACTCAAGTATTAAAAAAAAAAAAAAAAAAGACCTTATCTTTTTTGTGTGTGTTTTATGTGTTTGGCCTGCATATATGTAGGTACACCTGTGTGTGCAATGCCTGCATAGGGCAGAAGAGGGCATTGGATCCCCTAGGACTGGAACTATTGATAATTAGCTATGTAGCCTAGCAGCCTAGTGGGTTTTGGGAACCTAACCAGGCCCTCTGCAAGATAAGGTCTCTTTCTGAGACAGGCTCTCCCTGTATCCCCAATTGGCCTAGAACTTACTATGGAGACCAGGCTGACCTCCATCTCACAGAAATCCACTTGCCTCTACCCCCAGAGTGCTGGGACACATGGCTACAAGTATTTTTTTTTTTTTTAAAAAACATATGGTCCTCTGTAGCCCTATCTGGCCTCAATCTCAGATATCTGCCTGCCTTTGCCTGCCAAATGCTAGAATTAAAGATGTGCATGACCTCATAGCCAGTGCTCTTAACTGCTGAGTCATCTCACTAGCAGTAAAACTCTAATCTTAAAACCAGCAAGCAAGCAACAAACAACACCCCACCCACCCACCACCCCAAACACCTACATCCAGGAAGACTACAACACTGTTAGAATCTCTGGGTTTATAATATTCCCATTTCCACTAGCCTGTGACTTATTTAACACCCTCTTTTTCTGAGACAAGATCTCATTACATATAGCCCAGGCTGGCCTTAAACTTGAAATCCTCTTGCCTTAGCCTCCAGAGTGCCAGAATTACAGGTGTGTGCCACCATATATCCTGCCTTCCTATCAGTTTTTTCCATATAGCAAATGAGGATACTTAAGCTTCTTGCCTGCTGTAGAAAATCTTATGCTAAACTATTTGTTCAAGCATGTAAGAAAAAGTGGTGGGGGGGGGTGTTTGGTTTTCTTTGGTTTTGATTTTTTGGGGTTTTTTTTTTGAGACAGGGAGACCCTGTCTCAAAAAGACCAAAAAAATAAAATTAAAAAAATTTTTAAAAATTTATCTTTAACAAAGGAAGTATAAAATGGAAATGAAATTGACTTAACTATCCTCTCTCAGATGTGCAGTGGCTTGTTCCAGGAATGCTGTTTTCACATTCCAGTTCACTGCTAATGAGGTCTACAATCAATGTCAAGAGCCACATCCATCATGTGCACAGCTCAGTGTTAGAGATGAATGTCATCCCCTGAACTTGCATAAGACTGGAAACTCTCTCTCCTTATCCTCCAATTTCTAGGTGGCAAAAAGAAGCAGTGAAACCTAGACAATACACCCTCCATTTCTCATCAAAGCTGAGACACAGTACTTTAAAGTACAGGTGTGGTGGCTCATGCCTGCAATCCTAGCATTTGGAGGCTGATGCAGAAGTATTGCCATGAATTTGAGGCCAGCCTCGGTACATAGTAACCTCTAGGCCAACCTGCGCTAGAGTGAGACCCTACCTGGACAAAACAAAACAAAAGCAAATAACCAGAAAAACCTTCAAAACAGTTTTCAGTCAAATCTAGGAAATTCATCTAACTCAACCTTTGCACTCACTATATCAGAAACTGAAAGAAAAATGTCAAATCCATTAATATCAGAATCTGGATCAAATCAATTCTTACTCATTCTATGGGTTAATAATGTTACTTAGAGGCCACTCCTATTCCTCACTGTAGGAACATGACCCAGAAAAAATAACACTTAAGTCTTCGGATTACAAGAACACTTTTACCCCTCTGCTAACTGTGCTCATGTAACTTCAGTCTATGCTTATGAAAGCTGGGTTTTGTTTTTTTTTTAATCTTTTGAGACAGGGTCTCCCTATAGCCCCAGCTACATATAACTTTCTATGTAGACCAGGCTGGCCTCAAACTCAGAGATCCTTCTGCCTCTGCCTCCTGAGTGCTGGGATTAAAGGCATGCACCACCGTGCCTGGCTGTCTCTTTAAACTCAAGTCACTGTATCAGGCACTGCATAACGGGAGAGCAGGCCACTTCTATATTGGCTTTTATTGTGAGTGCTAAAGAGAGCAATGAAGGAATAAGCATAATGTAATGGTCGGTCATAAGAAGACAGGCATCCACTAGCCAAAGGCAGTATCTAATTCTATGAAGAACTGGCTTGTCCCTTGTTAAATGCACAAAGCAACACAGGCAGGTACATCTTTTGCTCTCTGTAACTCACCCTATTAAGTATGGCTCACGTCATAGCTGCAGATCACTGTCCCCTTTGTGCAGGATTCTTTGTGCGTGGTGCTAGGGACTAAACCCAGAGACTCAAGCATGCTAGCACACAGCCTACTCTCCTGATTCTTGCCAAACACAATTAATAGTAAGCAATCTCCTATCTATTAAAATAAAAAACTTTTGTGTAGGAAAATTTCATTTAAGTGTATTGCTATATACCACTTATTACATTCTAATCTGTGTGAACCTACCTTGTTTTAGACAATAACAGACAGAAAGCAAGAAAGAAGTTAGGATATAGATGAGAAAAATTAATAGGTTAATTCCTCTGAATTCAGGTGGTTATTAGTCAAAGTATGTTAAGTAGATCAATCAGAACATTCAGTTATACAGTTTTAAGTTTACTCATTGCAAATTTGACATTAAATGCCAAAATCAGTACTTAATGGTTTGACATATATAACAAACATCACAAAGCTGGTGTTTCTATCAGCATTCCTACAAAGCTGTAAGAGGTTTGAAAGGGAGACCCTGTAGCAGATCTCTTCTTTTCTACATTTTGCACATTATGTACCTCCAAAGCCAAGGCTGTCTTGTCGTAGGCATTAGGGACTCGCTTCTGGATAACCCTGGCATAAATGGGCCCATTCTGGAGGTTAGGGAGCGGAGTGTTGACGCTGGGTTGGGCATAGGGCCCAGGCTCCGGCCCACCCAGTGGCTGTGGGTGGGAACCCTCCTGGTTACCTCCAATCAGAGCCGATACTGAGGCGGAGGCAGGTCTATACTTCTCCACGTAAGGGACTGGAATCATCCCCCTCTTTCCTTCGCTGTCCTCTGCATTCCACCACTGCTCTTCAGGTTTATCCCGGATTCTCAGGATGTCTCCTTTCTTAAAGGGAAGATCTTCTTCATCATTCCCATTAAAGTCAAAGAGGGCTCGCACATACTCTGCCTCCTCCTGCCTGAGAATCACTCCACTACCCTGCCTGGATCGGGAAACTGGTTCTATCAATGTTGTAGTGTCCAAATAGTGTATTTTGTAGAATTCCAGTAAAGCAGGCAATGAATCAAATTCTTGATCTCCTATTCGGAGCCTGGAGGGATTCACTCCTGGAAAAAACAGGGCAGAAGGTTATTTAAAGATATACTATACAGAAGATGAAACATTAAGCATTTCCCATATACATTCAGTTAATATTTAACAAGCAGAGAAATTACTCCCTTTCCTCACAGCAAATGGGTACCATGGGGACAGACAGAGAAAGAACCATGACCAGGCTACTTGGTTTGCTCTCACAGTACAACATGGGTACTTTTTGCTCCTTCTCCCAATATGCTCTGCTGCTGCCCATTAACAGAGTAGCATAAGGTACAAGGCTTTGTTACAATCTTTCCAACCTCAGGAAATGCAGCAAGCTCTTTTTTAATTGGTTCCAGCAACTGCTACAGCAAAAAATGAGGACTGCTTGGTCACCACTCTAAGCCCACACATTAGTACCCCTAGAATGTCTAACTATGAAGAAGACTTTTTTTTGTTGTTCCTTTTGAGACAGGGTCTCCCTGTAGCCCCAGCTGTCCTGGAACTCACTATGTAGACCAGGCTGGCCTTGAACTTACAGAGCTATGCCTACCTCAGCTGGGATTAAAAGCATGTGTCACCACACCAGGCAGAGAAACATTTTTTTAATAATATTTTAATTATTTATTTTAATTTTATGTGTATGAGTATATTGCCTGCATGTATGTGAGTGCACCCATGTCCTGCAATGCCGCAGACGTCAGAAGAGGGAATCGGATTCCCCTGGAACTGGAGTTAAGGACGGTTCCTAGCTGCCATGTGGGTGCTGGGAATTGAACCTGGGTCCTCTGCAAGAGCAGTCAGTGCTCTTAATCGCTGAGCCATCTCTCCAGCCCCTATTATTTTTTTTAAGTGTATGAGTATATTGCCTGCATGTATGTGAGTGCACCCATGTCCTGCAATTCCGCAGAAGTCAGAAGAGGGAATCGGATTCCCCTGGAACTGGAGTTAAGGACGGTTCATAGCCACCATGTGGGTGCTGGGATCTGAACCCAGGTCCTCTGCAAGAATATTCAGTGCTCTTAACTGCTGACCCATCTCTCCAGCCCCAACATTCAGTATTCTTAACCTCTGAGCCATCTCTCCAGGCCCAGGAGAGAAACATTTTTAAGACTAACTTTTTTGATCTACGAGCCAAAAAAGGAGGGGCTGGAGAGATGGCTCAGCAGTTAAGAACACTGAATGTTCTTGTAGAAGACCCGGGTTCAGATCCCAGCACCCACATGGTGCCTAACAACTGTCCATAACTCCAGTTCCAGGGGATCCACCAGCCTCTTCTGTCCTCCACCAGCATTGCACAACACGGGTGCACTTACCTACATGCAGGCAATACATGCTTACACGTAAAATAAAAATAATAAAATATTTTTTTAAAAAGCCAAAAAAGGCAAAAACCCAAGGAATTAAAAAACTATGTAAACTGCTTAAAAATCAATTCTTGTGGGGCTGAAGAGATGACTCAGCAATTAAGAACACTTTGCTGCTCTTGCAGAGGACCAAGGGCTTCAGTTCCTAGCACCCACATGGTGGTCAACAATCATCCTTAACTTCAGTTCCAAGAGACACGATGCCCTCTTCGGGTCTCCATGGGCATTGCATGCACATGGTATACTCATCCATGCAGGCAAACCACTTGTAAAATAAAAATAAAGGGCTGGAGAGATGGCTCAGGGGACCCGGGTTCGATTCCCAGCACCCACATGGTGGCTACAAACTGTCCTTAACTCCAGTTCCAGGGGAATCCAAGCCCTCTTCTGACCTCCGCGACACTGCACAACACAGGTGCACTCACATGCAGCAATACACTCATACACATAAAATAAAAATAATACTAATAAATTTTTTAAAAACAATCAATTCTTTGCCAAGTATGGTAGCACATGCCAGTAATCTCAGCACTTGGGAACTGGAGGCAGTTCAGGACTAAGAGTTCAAGGTCACCCTGAGCTGTGTAGAGAGTTTAAGGCCAGCCTAGACTATATAAAAATTCTGACTTGCTGGGTGTGGTGGCACATGCCTGTAGTCCCAGCACTTGGGAGGCAGAGGCAGGTGATCTCTGTGAGTTCAAGGCCAGCCTGGTCTACATAGTGAGTTCCAGGACAGCTGGGGCTTACAGGGAGACCCTGCTTCAAAGAGACCAAAAAAACAAAAAAAATCTGACTTAACTGACAACCTGAGGGAATTCTCATGGCTTGAGAAAGACTTCCTGAAGAGGTTGTTCATTCTTAGTAGTGTAGTTTGCAATTCTTAATGGCAAATAATAAGTTTCAGTAGAAAAAAAAATTCTGACTTAACAAAAAACAAAAAATGAAAAATGGACTGAAGATGTAGCTTTGTTGGAAGAATGCTTAGCATGCATGAAGGCCTGGGTTTGATTCCAAGGACCAAAACCTGAGCATGGTGGTTTATGTCCATAATCCTAACACTCTTGGAGTAGAGACAGGAAGATAATTAGTTCAAGGTCATCCTCAGCTATATAACAAGTTGGAGAACAGCTTGGGCTACACGGTAAGACTCTGCCAACTCCTTTACCCCATATTAATTTCTGCTAACACACCAAGAATCCAAGAGAAAGGACCTAAAAGGAACACTTAAAATTCATGACACAAATGTGTGTGCTCTATGTGTATGCAAGCCTCTAATTCCAGTACTTGGACAGTAATAAGACAATCAAGAGTTCAAGATCATCTTGGCTACACAGCAAGTTGAAGCCAGCCTGGGATACATGAAATCCTACCTCAAAAGTAATTTAATTACATTTATGTATTTATTTACTTATTGTCTGTGTGAGCAAGCATGTGTGTACACTTGATAAAATGTGCATATGGAGGTCACAGGACAACTCACAGGAGTCAGTTTTCTCTTCCTACCATGGGGTCCCAGGGATCAAACTCAGGTTGTCAGGCTTAGAGGCATGTTCCTGAACCAACTCACCAGCCTCATCCCCAGAAAAAATTCTGATGAGAAATACAAACATTACTAGCATTCAGTTAAGCACTCAAAATACCAAATCATCTTCACTGGATTTTAAAAGACTTGTATTTGTTTTATGTGTATGTGTGTGTACTTAAGTGTATATGTGCACTACATGCATGCAAGTGCCTGCAAAGACCAGAAGAGGGCCAAACTTGTGTTCTCTGCAAGAGCAGCAAATTCTCTTAACTACTGAGCCATCTCTCCTGCCTCTCTTAGCATTTCTTGACTAACAGTTCTATAGAAAACCTAGGTTTTTGTCAGGTATAGTATGGTGGTATGTGCCTATAATTTCAGCATTCAGAAAGCCAAGCTACACAGACACATACTGTCTCAATAACACCTCCAAAAGTGTGAAAACAAAACAAAAACCTAGTGTGGAATAATGAATTCTTAACTTCATTATTATTGTGAGTATCGTGTGTGCACATCACATACATGTGTAGAGGTCAGAGAGCAACTTCCACCTTTACATGGACTTCTGAGTAGGCTTGCTCAAGCAAGTTCCTTTACCTATTGAGCCATCTTGTCAACCCTTGAATAGTATTCTAAAAATCATTGATATAGGGGCTGGAGAGATGGCTCAGTGGTTAAGAGTACTAGCTGCTCTTGCAGAAGACCCAAGTTCCATTCCCAGCACCCACAGGGTGGCTAACAACCATCTGTTAATTCTAGTTCTAGAGGATCCTCTTCTGGCCTCTACAACCATTATGTACACGTGGTACACTTACACCCATACAGGGAACACACTGCGTCTGGCTATATATTATTCTTTATCAGAGGTCTGGAGAGATAGCTCAGCAGTTAGGACAAAACAATGTTTTAAAAAACCCAAACCTGAGGCTGGGAAGATGGCTCAGCAGTTAAGAGTGCTTCCTGCTCTTCTAGAGGATGTAAGTTGTGTTCATAGCACCAAGGCTCTGCTCTTGCAGAGGACCTGGGTTCAATTCTCAGCACCCACATGGCAGCTAACAACCATCCATAACTCCAGTTCCAGGGGATCCGATGCCACCTTCTGACCTCCATGGGCATTGCACAATATATATATATATTCTTTATCAACATAAATGTACCTCTGAAATGAAGGAAAGGGGTAAAATGAAACTCTATCCAGCTTTAAGCAGCTGACAACAGACAAAAAGGCATGAACACTGGATGGTGAGCAAGAAAAAAAGTAGCATATCTTAGTAAAATATCTTTCCACATGGCTTTTATTGCAATAGAAATGTGCTCCTATAAAAACTAGCAGCAGCAACAATAAACTGTCCTAAGATACAGCAAATCACAAGGAAAAAGCAATTCTGACCACCCATGAACATTTCTAAAGCACTTCGCTCTAAGGAAGGCAACCACTCCCTGTCATCCATTGTTATGGTTCCTTTATATTACAGTGCTAAGGGCAAGAAAATGTGCTTTTGTGTGATGGGGAACTGCCAGAAGAACCAATACTACTAAGCCAGATCCCTTTGAAAGATTAGTGGGGGAAGGGGAGACTGGTAGTTTCTCTAGCATTGAAAGTAAGATGAGGGCCTGGAGAGATAACTTAGAGGTCAAGAGCACTGGCTGTTCTTCCAGAGAACAGCACCTACATAGTGGCTCAAAACCATTTGTAACTCCAGTTCCAGGGGATCTGATGCCCTCTTCTGGCCTCCATGGGGACCAGGCATGCATGTAAACACACTCATACACATAAAGTAAAAATAGAAATAAAAATATTTTAAAAAAGGAAAATGTGGGGCTAAAGAGATGGCTCAGCAGTTAAGAGCACTTACTGCTCTTGCAGAGGACCAGGGTCCAGTTCCCAGCACCAACATGGTACTCACATCCATAATTCCAATTCCAGGGGATTGGACACCCTCTTTTGGTATCTGTGGGGACTGCACACATATGGTACACTAATATACGTGCAGGCAAAACACACATAAAATGAAAATTATCAAAAAAATTTTTAAAAGGAAGATATAAGTTTAATTCCTTTCTTATTCTAATGCCGCATGGTGTGAACTGGACTCACTGATCTTTTGGTTTGGCAATTCCAACTAAACAAATCTAAAATATC